ACCCCGTTTCTCCCTCGCACACCCCTCTTCGTGTTCGGCCGCTGCGGCCCCAGTTAGAACCTCTTAGCGATTTCTTACCGTCCAAACCTAGGTTATAGGTTGAATCGGCTTCTAGCCCGTGACACTAAGTTGGGTTTGATACATGTTTTAGTTGGGTTACCCGGAACACCTGCCTAGGTCTAGGTCAGTAGCTTACAGGTAGGTAGGTGGTGATGGTCAACCGTCACAGAAATAAGATAGATACGGATATGAAACCCTAGACTGACAAGTACAAAGTCCGGACGCCTTTTTGGCCTGGTGGCTTATATTTCTATATGATTAGGGATCAAGTCATTCAGTGAGGCACTCATTACTGCGCAGGCAAAACTCCCCCTCATCTGGTGGTGGAGGATTCCAGCCATTCGTCGGAGGCCGTCTCTATTCTTGTAAGGACTACTGGACTAGACTTGCATTTATGGAGTAGTTCATGTCAGTTTTAGACTCCAAAACTGTCATATAGGTTGAGTCAGCTTCTTGCCCGTGAGAACTATAACTGTTAACTAATGCTATTATCCAAGGCAAGAAAGCCATCACTATTATCTTAGTCCAGATGTGAGGGGAGCAGACGCCAGAAGTCCAGTTTCTAGATTTAGTTGAAGCTTAAGCCTCCTAGCTGAGTCCACTCTTGATTTATGAAGAGAAAAAAGAAGACAGAAACAAAAACAAGATCAAATACATACAACAGCGGGGATTCGCTGGTGGTCACCCACCCAACTACTAACCGGCCGGCGTGTGGCTTAAGTACGGCTGAGCGGACGGGAAGCCCTGTTCTCCACACCCTATGGTCGTATGTGCTAGGAGCAAGTAAAAATAAGAGCTATATATGACGATTTTCGGAAAGAATAAAGATAGTTCCTGGCGTTGGTGATTCACTCTAGTATACTGATGTATATGCCTGATCCTAGAGATGGTAATATTGAGGCATGGCATTCATTTTCTGTGAGAAAGCTGGCTGGAACTATAGGCTAAGAAGACCGATATTATTGATATATAACCCCACTAGGTCAAAAAGGCGTCCGGACGAAGTACTCGTCAGTCTAGGGTTTCACTTCCATAATCACAGTGGTATATTATTCTAACAAATATTACCGTGAGATGCCAGGAGAATCCTTACACCTATCCCCTCTCTGTGACGGTTTGGCCTGAAGCATCCTGTTTAGGTCTTCCTCTTAAGGCCGTAGAAAGGCAGACCGAGAAATCCATTCTGACCCGGCCTGGATTTGACCCTTAGAAAAGAATCTCATGATATTCGGGATATGACTCTTTGGCAGGGTAACGACTAGTCTATCCAAAGCATATATTCTCGCACCCCTGCAAGTCCATCAGACGGGGCTACTCGACCTCCTATGAATCATAACTATCCTCCAGCTCAACTCTTGATCGAGGCCTGCTCACCTCCAGGTCCGAACGACCACGTCGTGACAGCCCGCAGAGAAACATCGACAAGACTCTCTCACATCTGTTGAAGTTAACAGTTTTCAAAGAAGATGGTCCAGTGGCAACATACATGATTGCAATATTTAGATCAAAGAGTACCAGATCAATCTTTTCCCAGCCATGCAGGTGGGGGTTCGGGTCGTCCGCATAGTTGTAGTCGCTTAGCGCAATCACTGGGATACTGATCCCTGATAGAATACAGGCCACAATATCTAGGAAGATCACTGTTGGCAAATACGATGGTTTTCGAAACAATAGAGTCATTGCCACGACGTCGGCGATGATTGCCAGGGAGGCCTGTATCTGTTAGATAACCCCTGATATATTGACTCCCACACGTACTGCGGCGAAAACCGTCCGATAGATCTTGTTTGGATCCACCGGCCCCCATCTAGCAGCAGTGTATCCGGCCAGAGCCAGGTAGGCAATGGAACAGAGAAACAGGGGCACACGGCCGACAAGATGAATCCATGTGATCATATTAGTTGTAGTGCGGGCATGCCAATGGAAATGGCATGCAGCAGAAATTGTAGCGAAGTACGGAGTAGAGGTTGGGAATTATATCATGAAAGAAGATGAGCACCGCTATGGAGGACTACTGACTCAAGATATGTACATATAGCCTGGAACTGGCTTTAGTTCAGTCGAGGACTGTGTAGGCTGTGCTTAGCGCCGGCCACGATGTCACCCAATCTCCTCCGTATTATATTAGACAGGGATGTCTCCCTCGGTTACTCCTTTACCACTCCACAAAAGAGTCCTCTTGTTGGCGCCAGTAATGGTCTGCCGAAGAGTCCGTTCTTCGAGAGGGCGAAGCCGCAGTATGAGGATCTGGATGCTTCGGCTTTCATTCACGTCAAGGATCCCGGTTGCAAAGGTAAAGTGACAGCTCTGTATAGCTCTTTTTGAGTGCGTGCTAATCCGTCTAGGCGACGGTTCCACCGACGACACAGCTGCTTTCCAGGCTGTCCTAGACGCCTACGGCAATTCGGGATCGGTCATTTTCGTAGACTCGGGCACGTACATTCTGACGGATACCGTGACCGTAGCCCCTGGTACCCGCATCGTGGGTGAAGCATGGCCTCAGCTGGCTGCCTCCGGAGCCAAATTCTCTAACCCCAAGTATGTATCGATCTGAGATGAGGAATGTAAATTTCTGACATGATGCTAGGTACCCATGTGCGATGTTTAAGGTGGCAGCAAGGGCTTAGTTGGCTTAATTAAGATACAGGATCTCCTTTTCATGACTAAATGGGTGACTGCGGGAGTGATCCTTATTGAGTGGAACCTGCTGGCTGATAAGCAAGGATCTGCAGGAATGTAGGGTACGTATATTCGTGTGGATGGCTGGCTCCTAGTGTTCTGGCTAACAAAGTCAGACTGTCACACGCGCTTGGGCAGCGCCACCGGCACTGGACTGACACCGTCGGAATGTCCCCCTTCCACATCTGGAACCGATAGTGGATGTTCTGCGGGGAGTCTGATGATGCATATCACTCGGAGTGAAAGCGCATACCTAGAGAACGTGTGGCTATGGGTTGCAGACCATATGACAGAGTGAGTTTGACTGGCCGGCGAGCTGTAAGTGTACTGACACAGTGACTACAATCCTGACTGGACAGATGACGGTAACAGCATGGTACGGACAGAGGAAAATCATCTAATACTTGACTGACATTCCCACAGGTTCAGAACTCCGTCTACAATGCCCGAGGCTTCCTCAATGGAAGGACAGGCAAACTAGGTGTACGGCACAGCATCAGAGCACTCGGTATACTATCAATACAACATCAACAACGCCAAATATCTGTTCGCGGGCATGATTCAAACTGAGTCCCCGTATTATCAACCCACTCCTGCGCCGCCAGCTCCCTTTGCCAACGCCGTTGGTGTGTTTTCTGGCGATCCGATCTTCAGCTGCAAGGCTGGAGAGGCAGGATGCGATGAGTCGTGGGCAGTGATGATTCGGAATTCAGAAGACGTCTTCATCGCTGGCGCTGGCTTATATTCTTGGTTTTCCACATATTCTCAACAATGCGGTATGGCTTCTGAGGACTTTCAAAAAAAATTCAATACTGACAGTATTAGTGGATTCTTCTGACTGCCAAAAAACGCTGGTCTACATGGATACCAACAAGGATGTTACTATCCATACCCTGATCACGATTGGAGCAACGAATATGCTAACTTCGGATGGGAAAATGTATATCTCAGAACACATGCTGTACCCTCGGCCGCCCTAACTCCTATACAATCCGGGATGACCAGAAGACGCTGGAGGTGATCAGGGAAAATCCCGATAAGTTGGATCCCTTATTCAACATCCTACCCCTGTAGTAAAGGGACAAAAATGTATGCGTGTCACTTATCATTTTATTTATAAAATAGGCAAGCGACTTGTGTGTACATAACATGGAAGATTATGCGACGCTGAATCGGGATATTGGATGTATTGATTGTATTGTTCTGGTAATACAGACCCATAGCGAAAGTGGCTGCAGAGGAGTTGCATCTCAGGTAGGGTACATCCTTGCTTTTCGAAGTAAAGTAAGTTGACTTAAAAACTCGACGACCGCCAACAATTGGCCTGTGTTTACCTTCTCTACCAACTCTGACCCTGAAGACCATTGACCACTCTATAGATGGGTTTTTCATTAAAAAAAGGTCTTTGCTCTTTAGTAGCAGTATGGTCTTCGATCCATGCCAACCTTAGCAAAGCAGAAAGGGTAACGTACACCGGTATCAATCTCATCATCGCTTTCCTGGTTGCGATCTGACTTCTACAAGTATCAGCATCCAATGTGAGTCGCGGCTTTCTCTGCGTTGCACAAACCGTGGAAGAAGTTTCACCGTCCTGTCCTGACGCCCGGGCGGTATTGAAGTCTCAGTGGTAATGCTACAGTGTCCATACCTACTCCAATCGTACCGCCCACAGGACCCCTCAGCCTGCCCATGGAAGACATCTTCAGAGCATCTTATAACGAGATCGAATACCTGAAAGCATACTTCGGTCACATACAAAGTCCACACATCCAACAGAGCTTCGAGGCTGAGATACTGCACCCGATCGAAGAATTCCAGATCCTTGTAACGAAGGAATACACCTTGTTATTCAAAGATGCATTTCCTCATCGGATCAACGAGGCTGCTGGGCTTCCAGAGCCGCAGCGCAGACGGGCCCGCAACGGGGTGATCCGGCTCCTTCGGAAGCTTGACATGCTGAATTGGAACATCACCGCGTGGGCCCACCGCAATGCTATGATTGATCTACAGCAGACGGACACCCGCGAGAAGATCTTGATGCAAGGCGAGGGGATCTGGGCTCGACGGTTCAGGAGCATTAAGGCGGAGATCGATGCCGTGTTGGAACAGTTCTCATACCGTGGACATCCACTTCAATATGTGGGAAGTCTGAAGCACGGGATCCGAGGATCCCATAAGGGCAAATCGGCCATCAATATCGACGACTTCGATGTCGACCTCTTTGTGGCACATGCAGAGGAGTGGCACAGACACCTGCCAGCGATACAGGAAAAATTCCCGCAGCATTTCAGCAATGGAAAAATATACCCCTTAGGAACCCATATGCATGAGTTACAGAACCTCAGCCATGCGGTGGGCTACGCATTGGCTGCGAATCTTAGGGGCAAGGTCAAAAACTCATGGAGATTTATTGGGCATACGGAGATCGTGCTTCGCGAAATAGACAAATATTAGTCAATGCGAGTGCCTCATAGTGATATGGATTTTGTAGTGTTGCCCTTTAGGCCTTTCTCATGAAGGGAAGTGTTGAGGGGTTCCTGTATGTACCTCTAGATGCTTGGAATTAATACTATATAATGGGTAGCTTTAATATAGATACTATACTAGTAGGTAGTTTCTTTTGATTTAACCTAAGATCTCAGGGGAGTAAGTATATCCCTTAATAATAAAGAATTTAATATCTCTAGCAAGCAGGCTTATAACTATTAGATTCTATGTAATCTAGTGTCATAGCACCATATCTGTGGTACTAGACTATATATTTTATGCTTGCTTATATTGCCATCTCTAGTTCTATTCTATGTAAGGGGCCAAAGCCCTCTTTATTGAATCTAACGATATCAACCAAAGAAATGGATTCGTTGGAGGGAGAAAGGGAAAACAGAGAGAGATGCCCACGAAGATGGGGATCGAGTAGGCGAACAGA